GTGTGTGTGTGTAGGGGACACTATGCATCTGTTACAGGTGTGTGTGTGTGTAGGGGGACACTATGCATCTGTTACAGGTGTGTGTGTGTGTGTGTGTGTAGGGGGACACTATGCATCTGTTACTGTTGTGTGTGTATGTAGGGGACACTATGCATCTGTTACAGGTGTGTGTGTGTGTAGGGGACACTAAGCATCTGTTACAGGTGTGTGTAGGGGGACACTAAGCATCTGTTACAGGTGTGTGTGTAGGGGGACACTATGCATCTGTTACAAGTGTGCGCGAGAATGTAGGGGACACGTGCACCCGTTATGTGTGTACACTAAACATTAGTTACCTGTGTGCACGTAGGGGACAGTATGGATAAATTACGTGTGTGCGCACAGACAGAGGACACTACGCATCAGTTACCTGTGTGCGCACAGACAGAAGACACTACGCATCAGTTACCTGTGTGTGCGCACAGACAGGGGACACTACGCATCAGTTACCTGTGTGTGCGCACAGACAGGGGACACTACGCATCAGTTACCTGTGTGTGCGCACAGACAGGGGACACTACGCATCATTTACCTGTGTGTGCGCACAGACAGGGGACACTACGCATCAGTTACCTGTGTGTGCGCACAGACAGAAGACACTATGCATCAGTTACCTGTGTGCGCACAGACAGAAGACACTACGCATCAGTTACGTGTGGTACGTGCAGGGAACAGTGTGCATTCGTAAGATGTGTGGGTGTATTTTTTCTTTAGCAAAGTGTGAGTAAATGTCCACAAGAATGGGACAATACCGACCAAGACTTGTCTGTTTCACTGATAAATTTACAAACACAATTTACTAAGGGACTGTAAATAAGTGAAAGGAAGGGAATAGGGAACTCCTGGCTGCCATGGCAATCAGCTGTATTTTGCTGGCTCACAAATTTTGCGGCGGGCTTCCAGATCTCAGAAATAGATTTGTCCAGCCCAGCTTTACATAAAAATGTGGTGTGAAAAATAAATGATGGCAAACCTGTGTGATATTTACATATGTGTATTGGACTTCTGGGTGAGGAAATGAGAGCAAGATAAAAACTAATACAATTACAACAGTTCATCCATTATAGTAAATCGACCCTTTACAGTCTGTTTATGCGACAAATAACCAATTTCAGGTTGTAGAAGATTTACTTCTAAAAAGAAGTGCTTTGAATAAGATTAAACATTTACTTCAGCCAGCAGGGGTAACCCTTGTACCTGTCAGAAGTAACACCCGGTAACAAACTGTGCTTTAGAATAACAATGAGTGAGACAGACAAGAACATAAAGCTGCTACTGAGGGAATGTGACTCCTGCAGAAAAATATATCCTTAGTTGTCACTTTCACCTCCCGTCACTGGTCACTTTCCACCCACCGCGTACAGCAAGCTAACAAATATCGACACCACTGTAGCTGTGCCTATAGCAGAGGAATACATCTCCTCTGTGTGCAGCTCCTGACCCGTCACCCAGCTCCTCAGTGTGCAGCTCCTCAGACCCGTCACCCAGCTCCTCAGTGTGCAGCTCCTCAGACCCGTCACCCAGCTCCTCAGTGTGCAGCTCCTCTGACCCGTCACCCAGCTCCTCAGTGTGCAGCTCCTCTGACCCGTCACCCAGCTCCTCAGTGTGCAGCTCCTCTGACCCGTCACCCAGCTCCTCAGTGTGCAGCTCCTCAGACCCGTCACCCAGCTCCTCAGTGTGCAGCTCCTCAGACCCGTCACCCAGCTCCTCAGTGTGCAGCTCCTCAGACCCGTCACCCAGCTCCTCAGTGTGCAGCTCCTCAGACCCGTCACCCAGCTCCTCAGTGTGCAGCTCCTCAGACCCGTCACCCAGCTCCTCAGTGTGCAGCTCCTCTGACCCGTCACCCAGCTCCTCAGTGTGCAGCTCCTCTGACCCGTCACCCAGCTCCTCAGTGTGCAGCTCCTCTGACCCGTCACCCAGCTCCTCAGTGTGCAGCTCCTCTGACCCGTCACCCAGCTCCTCAGTGTGCAGCTCCTCTGACCCGTCACCCAGCTCCTCAGTGTGCAGCTCCTCTGACCCGTCACCCAGCTCCTCAGTGTGC